GTGGCATTTCTTGCTTGTAAGTAAGTAGCTGATCTCACAAGTTAAAGTCTGGTGACATTTGAATGAACACGTGGATGTTTTGTTATAGAACAAAACATTGGAGACCCGTTGAGAGATTCCACATGGATGACTATCGAAGTGTCAGTGGTTAATCTCTAACGATCAGTAGTGGAATTAGTCATTTGACTTGAGGTCATCATAGTACTTTATATGAGGACAATCATACTTTGGTGATATTGAATGTTGCTCTATCAAGGGTCACTAATACAGCATCGTTCGGGTATGTCAATAATCATATGAAGGTTCTGAATAACCAATAGAGGATTTGTCACTCTTAGATAGTAAGATATTATGATTTACATTTTATCCAGTTATGTTGATAATAAAATCCTTGGTCAATGTGAACTTATAAGTCAAAAATGAGTTTTCGACTTACATTGACTTTATAGTGAGATAAAAGATATGATCGATAATTGAGATTGACACGTATCATATTTCATAATTGATCGAATCATATTGACGAAAGGATTATAGTTTCACGGTAAACGAACAAGTTTCATTTTGTTACACTACGTGACATTTCCCGTCACATATATTGCCCTGACAAATTGCTAGATATCAATTTGGGACGACGAATGTGAATTTATGATAAATTAAAAGGGGTGTTTTAATTTATCAATTTTGATTAGATCAAAATAATAATTCACATCGTTAGGTATCGTGATCGCGAACCTAATATGTCACACACAAAAGAGAACCAGAAGAATGTGATTTACCAATTAATTTGACAAGTGTTGGATAATTAATTAATTGAGTTGCTTATTAATATGCATGAATGAATTAATTGGCTTAATTAATTCATGTACCAGATTTAATTAATTTGATTAATTAAATTTTGGATCGGGTCAAGTTTAACAGACGGGTCAAGCCCCCTTGGATTTATATTAATAGACTGATAGAGTTTGAAAACTATATGGAATAACTCATTATTCTTGCTAACACAAGAAAAGAAAACACTAGTCGTCATTCTTGCTCTCTGTGTGGATCAACATTGGAGGCTGGATAATTGGACATATTGGATTGTAGATCGTGATCATTCGAGTTTGAGAATTAGCAAAGAAGCTTGTAGAATTCATTAAATGTATTATTCTAAACACAATTTCTATCTAAACACAAAGCAGATCTGTGGTGGGAATTGAAATTTGATTTATTTTTCGTTGTGCATGTTAAGTAAATTTCCAACAGCTTCTGCACAAAGATTTGGTTTCGCATTATACAAGGTTTCAAATTGAGCCTTTTCTTTACCTGGCCATGAAGGTAGGCTTTTATCACATGACATATACATTGAAATGTTTCTGCACAAAGCTCTTGAGGAAGGTTCTTATCATGTAGCCTCGAATGACTTGTTGAAGTGAGATGCGCCCACTTCCTTTCTGGAAATTGCTTCTGCACAAAGCTCTTGATGAAGTTCTTATCATGTAGCCATTAAAAACTTCTTGAAGTGAGATGCACCAACTTCCTTTATACAACACTGTATTGCTGAGGAGTGTTAGGATATGTCATTTGCCATTGAATACCATTTTATCATAATATTGGAAGAAATCATCGGACTTGAATTCACCACCATTGTCACTCCTTAAGCACTTAATTTTCTACCCGAACTCATTTACGATAATGTTGAGTTCAACAAACTTAAAGTAGTGCTTCACCCATGCAAAGCAAAAGATCTGAAATTCGAAAATCAAGAATAAAAGCATCCTATTTCAATCGTCCACGTTCATCTTCATTTCTTAATTTTTGCATGTACCTATTACGCACAAAAAATAGTAGCCAAGACGAGGTGTAAAATCCAAATGTAAATAACAAGATCCTGGTATAATGGTGTTATGAATTTCTATCAATTATGTGCAATGGAAAATGAGAATAATGGCATGCCGAAAAGTTCTAATGGTCAAATCCCAAATCTAACAATTTTAAAATATTTCTTTTTGAAAAGCTAGCGGTAAAACCTGTAAAACCGTTATTGGTTTCCCGATTGAACCAGCCAGTTGACCAAATTTCTTACCTGACTTTCATTGAATTGTTTTTAGTACGTAATCAGACTAGTTTTGGTCCAGTTCTTTCGGATTTTCAGAACATTGATTTTATCTAATAACTGGTTCGACTATACCTATCGTTCATTTGACGAAAAGCAAATAAAATCAATTCAAGTGATTTTGAATTTTAAAGTACAAATTATTCGATAAGAAAATATTTTAAAAGTTTGCAAATAGACAAGTTGGGTTTTAACTTATGTGTAAAAAGTATTAGGTTCACAAATTCAACATAGTTATCCTGTTAGAATTTGGGTATGACCAGAATTTCTTATTGAAATAATTGAAGAACTATAATTGAAATGCACATCAAGGGGAATTCGGTTTGGAATGTTATTGTTGTCTTATTCAAGTTAAAATTCTATTTGGAAGCCCTATTGAGACTTGAAATTTGTATTGGATTTGGAGATGTTGAAATTATGGACCGAAAAGAAAAGTCCCAGCATTTTAACTAGCCAACCACTAGTTGGCCGCTAGAACAACACCTGAAGGTTTTCTCCCGAGGCTTGGTCACTTGCCTATCGCTCGAGCAACAGACCTGTCTCTAGCTTATAGCTCGAGCGACAAGATTGTTCGGCCCAGGCCCTTTTCGTGTTTTAACACGTTTTTGGCATTCTACTTCAACTACAACTCATCTATTAAGGTTTGGGCATCGCCCTACATAGTTGTCTATATATACTTGGCTCTTCTCTACAATTTGTGTAAGAATAGTGTGAAAGTGATTACTAACTTTTAGGATCATTGTAATATTTCTCCATCTTTATTATTTGTGGTGCAATAAAATCTCATAATTCATCCATCATATTTTTTTTGTCTTCTTTTGTTCTTTTGCTTACGATCATATACTTTATATTTTGCTATATAACTTCAACATCTCAATCTGGTGGTTGGTTTCATATCAAATGATATCGAGCAATACATGATCTTTGAATTTCCAGCAATTGATATTAGAGATTCTGGGCATAATTAACACAACAAGTGGCATCAGAGCCTAGGTTGAACAGTTCCGCAAGAGCGTAGGGTTTGATTTGTTCGTGATGACTTCAATAAAGTACGAAATTCCGCTTTTGGATCGGAACACTAAATTCTCACTATGGTAGGTTAGATACGTGCAGTACTCTACAATAGGATTTGGATGATACGTTGCTGGAAATTGATAAGATGCCCACAACTTTAACTGTAGAGGGGAAATTACAGAAAGATTAGAAGGCAATTTCTCACATTCATTTTCATCTATCGAACACCATTCTTCAAGATGTTTTGAATGAGGGTTCAGCAACTACTTTATGGATGAAGTTGGAGTAATTGTGCATGACTAAAAGTCTGGCAAGCAAGTTTATACCCTTATCGAGTGGTAGAAGGAGGATCATTGGAAGATCACTTGGCTGTATTTAAGGAGATAATTGCTAATTTGGAAACTTTGGATGTAAAGTATGATGAAGAAGATTTGGCCTTGATCCTTTTGTGTTCGTTGCCCAGTTCGTTTTCTTCATTTAGAGACAAGATCTTGTATAGTCGTGATACTCTTACAATAGAGGAAGTGTATGATGTTTTATTTTCAAAAGGGGCTTTTGGCATCTGAGGCCAGAGATGGAAAAAGCCTTGTTGCTCAGGTGGTTCTAGAAGGATCAGATTGAAGTCTAAGTTCAGTAATTAGATTTGTAACTTTTGTAAGAAGAAGGGCCACGTGAAGAAGGAATGCTACAAATTGTAGAATAAAGAAAGGTTGGCTGCAAGTCAATATGGGAAGCAATCAGAGACTTCAGGTGAAGCAGACCTCGCAAAAAACATTGTGAGTGACATCTCTTGGCTATTTCTGTCATCGACTCTAAACCAAATGAGGATTGAATTCTAGATTCAGCATGTATGTTTCATATGTGTCCTAATAAGGACTTGTTTACTACATATGAAACTGTTTCCAAAGGTGTCATGGTTATGGAAAACAACACACCTTGTTAGGTTGTTGAAATTGGTATGGTCAGATTGAAGCTATTTGATGGGATAATTAGAATACTTGGCCAGGTTCGACATGTTCCAAATTTAAAGGAAAATCTCATCTCTTGTCTATCCTTGATTCAAAGGGTTATGAGTTCTTTGGTAGATGTGGAGCTTTAAATGTTTGTAAGGTTGCACAGGTTATATTGGAGGGATAGAAAATGTCTCAGTTATACATCTTGTAGGGTTGTGCAGAATCTAGAAGAGTTAATCAGTACAGGTTCAGTACCGTGGTGGACATTCAGTTTGGTACAATACCTTTAGGAGCTCGTAAATGGTCGGATTTGAAGAATATAGCTCAGTAGAGTTCAAAATATATGGATAATGCCGTTTTGCCACATCACTTGCGGTACCATTATATTTTATTGCTAAGGATGGACCTAGCAAAAAAGGGTATGTAGATGCTGATTTTGTTGAGCATGCTTTCAACGAAATAAAAAGTTTACAATCTAGCAAGGGGCCTTTTTTAAAAACATTTGGGTTTTATTCTGTTTTTGGGTGTGTTATAGCCCAATTTTGTGAATTTCAAAATCATTATGATTCTTTTTAGGAATCTGAGGTAATTTTGCAAAGTAGTGCTTTGATTCATTGGAAGATGTGGAATATTTGCGTGTGGTTGGAGAAATCAGTTTTGATTATTGTTGAAGAGTCA